TTGGAACCCACCTTGTACTGAAAATTCCAATATCGGCTTCTGCACACACCTCCCAAATCTGCCTCGTGATATCTTTTTGCCAGTCCGTAGGACCCCCATTCGAGACAGTTTTCAGTGCCACCCTGTTGTGGATAAATAAAGTGAGCCAGGTTCCTTTTAGCAAGCTTCTGAACGATTGAAGTGCTCGTAGCACAGCCAATGCCTCTAACTGGGCTATCACATTTGGGGCATGTGGTTGCGACCAACTCCCTGCTGCTTTGTGTTTCTGAAAAATACCACACCAACCCTTTGTCAATGCAATGACATATACCGATCTTACACGTGAGGGCTTCCAGGCCGGCTAGCCATTCCACTTCCTCAGGTTTTCTACCAACCAATGGATATCCTCAACTGCTTGTGCCAACAACTGGACCCTGCTGTCCCATTGCCACGTACCCCGATTTTTGGAATCTATCAGCTTGTACAATTCCATGCATTTTACCTGGCTTGGAAGGAATGCCCTTTCAAAACACACTATCTTTTCCGCCGCTGATGCTAAGTCCCTTGCTAATACCACCAACGCTTCCGATATTGCTACCAATTTTGATATAGCGAAGCTATTTTTCTTCTGGAGCTATCACCATTTTGTTCAATATGTCCACCAACATTCCGCAAAACTTTAACGTTTGTGTTGGGTCCCAACACCCTTTCTTCTTGGCCCGAACCCAACCATAATCTGCCAGGTCTGCCTCTATTACCTTGTCCCTTATCTCCAATAATCCCTTCTTTGTTGGGTAGACAACCCACACATCGTCTAGATGGTTGCTGCAGTATACTCCCTGGGCCTGCCAATCGCCGATCAGAGCCCTCATTATTTTTGAAAAAACCCAGAGGGCCTGGCTGAGACCAAAAGGTAACACCCTGTACCGGTACCATGTCTTCTTCACAACGAAGCCCAACAGTCCTTAAGCTTCAGTACTTATCAGCACATGATGGTAGCCAACCTTTAGGTCGAAAGAAACCGACCACCAACCCTTTCCTATCGTTCGCAACAGGCACCTAGCCCTTCAAAATGGAATGACTTCTGGGCAAAGTCTGGTTCAACCTTCGCAAATTGATTACTAGTCAGAACTTTCAGGGCTCTGTTTTGGAACTAGAAACACTGGGCTTACTTCCAGAAGACCAGTTGGACAGACAATTCTCTCGCCAACCTTTACTATAGCCCCTGCAATCTCCGATCTTTGCAACTCCTTTTTCAACCAAAGCATCTCCTCCTGTATAAAACGATAGGGCCTCGGGTTTGAACTGGTCACTAAACACATTAAATTTCTCAAAAACAAAGGAATTCCCTCCTTTAACCACCTTAACACCACCTGAGACGGTCTTATTATTTTCTTCAAATATTTTATTTTTGTCCGACCGTGAATCCTCCCTGTCACATACTCCGAATCTACTTCTCCTGATTCCAACATCCCCGAGTGTAGTCAACTACTTCTCAATTGTGTGCTATCCCCACGAAAGGGCAAACCAAGATGCTTTCTAGAACTACATTCATTAGCAAAATGCTCTTTTCCTTCACACAAATAACAAACCACCTCCTTTCCTTTGGACCATTTGTTTTTATCACCCTTTTTTGGCCAGTATGGTGATGGGGAGTATGATCGTTGCTGCCCCAAAGATGGTAGTGCCGCATTCGGACTAAAACCCTGCTAGTGTTGCAAGAACTGTGGGGTTGTCTGCACAGCTTGAGAAGGAGGAGCCCACAAGCCTCTGAATAGAACCTGTGGTGCCGGCTGGTTTGAGAATTGTTGGTAAAATCCCGGTTGATAAACATATGGTTGCATTTGTGTGAATTGTGTCATGGAAACACCGCCCATTTGAAAGATAGGGGTCTGAACCGGTGACTGCCCAGGATAAGAGTAATACGATAGTTTGGTTTATTGGCTTTAGGAAATGTTGTGTTGCTAATCTAGCTCTTTCACGTTTACTTCCTAAAATTTCAGACATTGGGTCCGACAAGTCTGTAGTTGCCATCTTAGATGCAACCTCCCATCCATCTTCATCAGCAACTCTCACCATATATGCCCTTTCCATAACAACCTGTCTTGCCAAATGAACATAGGCTATATCACCAGTTAGCAGGGCCTTATCCAACAATGACCCTGCTTTACACCATTCATTATACTTCCACTGATTATGCTGCTTCGACAACTTACGTTTTTCCCACATATCCTTACGTTCCACA